ATAAATAGTCACTAAGTGCCGCTCACCTCTCTGCAGCTCCAAAGCAACCAGGAACAGAATCACTCAAACCAACCCTGTGAAAAAGTTAAGTAACCACCATACCAGGCCTGAGGAACAGGAGTGGATGGACCAAAGAAGGTTTCTAAGTTCTCAGCTCAGGTTCTCAAAACGCAGCTGGTCAGGACCAGGAACATCAGCATCACCTGGGAACTCCTTGGAAATGGAAGTTCTCAGGCCCACTTCAAACATTCTGCATCAGAAACTAGGGTGGGTATGGAGAGCCGCAACCTGTGTCTAACAAGTCCTCCAGGTGATTCTGATGCTCACTAGATGTTGGGATATACGGCCTTAGTTAATCCCTTAATTACTTGAGAGGAATGGACTGCCAAGGAAATAACTCCCACAGTTGGATTTCCAAAGACACAAAGAAATTAAGTACACACTTCACACAAATATATGCATTGGAAATTTTGCTTATTTTCAACAATGAGTAATTTTTCCCTGTGAGCTCAAAACTTGTAAATCAAAATAGATCAAGTCAGTGGCCCACACAGTAATTTAAGAACACATTTCAACACTGAAAATCTCAAACACGACAAATGTGAAGAGGACAGTCTACTACTTAGAGGATACTACACCACCAAAGGATCCCCTTCTCATTTTCCCTGTTGACCAGCATCAAGCATTTATAGGATGGTCAGCTAGGGTTACCAACTCTGTGGATATGCAATAGTCCTCTGGGTCAAGCTAATTGACCAGGCTCAGGATAAAATTCTTGACCTGGGCCTAATTTAGCCCCTTAAGAAACTAAGCTAGATCATTCACATATCAAATATTACATGTAAGATTGATCTAAGAATGGCTATATATATTTTTTCCCCCAAAAGCACACACTATGAAGAAAATCAAATGAAAGCTTGATGGGAGGGAAAGTCAACAAATACAGAACAGGAAAAAAAGAGGAAATTTTTCTCAGCAATGTTAATATGCTACTTATTATTCAGCTTATACCCATAACCACCCCAACACACAAAAAGGCACTTTGTCACTATTACCTTTTCTCCTCAGCTACTCTAAGACCTTTATCCACATGCATTGCATCATATTCTTTCACTCAGAATTATAACTCCAATATTGTTCATTTTCATAATCAGTGTGCATGCAACGTATGACAAAGATATTGCTAGTTTAAGCAAGATGCATTTCCTCTCCCCTCCCATTGCAAAAATCCCAGCCACACCTGCATTTTTCCTAAGCTTTCTCCCCCTGACCCTTCAAAGAGGTAAGGTACCCCTCATATTACCTCTGGGCCTGCATGCGATCCTGCAAGCAAGATTTAACCAATCTTTTGCCATTCATTCTGCTTCAAGAATGCTGCATATACTACACACCTGCCCTACTGCAAGCTGTTCCTTTCTTTTAACAGTCCCTCCCACTGGGAGGCTGATAATGAAGATCAATGAGTTAATGTTTGTCAGATACTTCAGACTTCTCAGATTAAAGGCAACATTAAAAGTTCAAGCAACCGGTGGCTGGCATTACACTAGAGATGTTGCAGCTAACTCTTTAAAGAAGGAAATCAAGGCTGCAAAGATACATTCAGCTTGCTTTTGTACTCTTATTAAAGGCAGGCAGAATTAGTCTAACATTCTCTGATTAACTAGATTTCCATTTAGAAATGTAAGAATGCTTATATAATACACTGGGCCTTGATTATAGTAAGAAGTATTCAGAGAAAAGGATCGCTTTCTCTGCCTTTCTTCTCTAAGTGGTTTTGCCTCCTCAAACTTCACTGCCTGGTCTATAGCTCTCAATCTCCTCCTCTGTGAGGGAACACATGGCAGCTGCCAGCCAACATGTTTGTTTTGAGCCAACAGACTAAAAAAAAAGTCAAAGACAAAGCTTTATGTGTATATTGAGGCACGCATGTGAATTCAGGCTGCTGGAAAAAAATAACACAAAGAGCACATTCATGGGCACAAACAACTCCTTGAACATGTAAATGGCCATTCTTGACCCTCTCTGTGTGAAGTGCTGTGATACAGCATTACACTGAATTATCCAGAAATACTCTGGCAAGCTACATACTACTGGCTCCAACTTGCAGGTGAAGAAACTGAGACTCAGAAGGGTTATGAAGTTCATCCAAAATCACACAGCTAAAAAAAAATGGCAGAACTGGAATTCACACCTATCTGTATTTCAAACTCCCAAGCCTGACCCCCGGCTTCAGCACACTGACTGGCAGGAAAAACTGCACAACTTGGCACACACACTGCTTGAACCACTCGTGGGACGCAGTCATGTAAATCAGTAAGAGGAGATCAAGAAGCTTATTTTAGACATTAACTCAAACCTCCTTTCTACCAAAGCTTTTGTGATTGTTTTCCCTCACTCCTTAATTAACTAATTATTTCATCTTATCTCTTTTCCCTGCCTCATCTCTAGCAAAGTGCATAGCACTGTTCTGAGACACTTGGTGATGAAGTAATGAGTCCAAGTGCAAGAATTTGTTCATATTCTTATTTGAAAAGGTCAAGAATATGGAACCCAGGTGGGCTATAATATGCAATCAAAGGGTTGATGTTTGTTTCCCCCGGAGCATATTTAAACCCCTAATAAGGAAGGAAGGAACAGAAAAATAAAAAATCCTTATAGTTCTTGACACTTGACATCCACCCAGAGCAAGTAAGAATGATGGTTCTTCCATATTAAAAGAGTCTAGCTGTTCTTTCTATTACAGCTGTGACACAGTATGCTCAGACCTGAATAACTCAAGTGTTACTAATAATTATGTGTTTAAGTCAATTTTGGAAACCGGGCAGTTACCTGAGATTAGCAGGAAAGGGTTTCCCTGCAGCCATGTCTCTAATGCAGGTTCTACCCCTTCAGGAAAACTTCTATGAAAGGGCTGTTCTTAAGATAAGAAAAGATGCTGGTAGAGGGGCCTGGATAAACACCCAAAGTTGTAGGAAGTCAGCGTGCTCCTCCCGCTCTGATATACTGGCCTGAGGTCACTGAAAGCTAGATAACTGCCACCTCACCCAGGACTCAGCCACTATGAACAATATACTACAAACGCCACTTCAGCCCAGTGAAGAGACACCCTTGAAAGGCAAACCAAGTACAAAATGCTACTGCACTATAAGAAACTTCTAGGCAGGATTTGCTGGATCCTGTGCCATTAGGCTACAAAAACCTGCAGGAACATACAGTGCATTCAGTTTTCATAAAGTTTCAGAGAAAGGAATAGTAGTCCTTTCAACTGTGCTAAAGCAATAACAATGACTTTTAAAAGCACAGAATAACAAACTTAGTGACACGTAGATGAACTAATTCTGCACATCATGGCCATTCAGATTAGGCAAAAGAGATCATGCCATTCAGCTCCTACTCATTAAGACTGCCATTTCGATGGCACAAGCTTTTCACTCCAGCACCAAACAATAAGGTAACCTTGTAATACAAGGTCTATAAGGCTGCAGTATTATCCCCATCTACTTCTGTCAAGTGGCTCTTTGCAAAGAAATCAATACTATTTTAGTGAAACCCAGCATGGGCCAATTAAAATTTGGATAACCATACAACAGCAGCCTGTGGTAGAAACAGCAGCAGGCGTGAAGGTGTGGCCAAAGAGGGAGACTGTGACTCCTCTGGAAGTTACTTGTGATTCCCGTAATGGGTAACGTGCTTCTAGCTTAATTTCTGATATTAGGAGGTGAGGAGAATGCTATCCCAGCAACACAACACCAACCTGGCCATAAATCCCCCGCAGGCCCTCAGAGAGCTAGGTATGACCAAATTGCACTCACTCTGCACCAGCTGTTTCCTCTACCTGAAATACTCTCCTAGTGAACACCGCCTACCAGTGCACACCTCACCTCCTGGTCTGCCGGAGTCTCTCACAGAACCCCTCTTCCGCGGCGCTGAAAGATCAGTCATTGGGTTTGCTGCACCAGGCTGCAGACTGCTGCACTGTGATCTTGTTCAGCATCTTTCTATCCCCTATTGCTAGCAGCGTAGAAGCTCATTACTGGGTTTGTTGAATGAATGAGTGAACGAATCCATTTCAAAAAAGTTAACACAACTGTGGAAACCGTAACTGTACATGCCTCCCGCAGTCTAGAGATTCTTCACCTTCACCAAGAACCTGAAACAGCCAGTCCTTCACAGATTGAAGTTGAAATCCTACAATCTCTGTAAATTGCAGGAGGGAATGGGGGCTGTGGGTAACAGAAACTGAAGGAAGTGTGAGGGAAAAGAAAGTAGAGACAGAGCTACCTCTGTCTGTTCCCTCCCAAAAAAAAAAAGATAGAAAAAACCCACTTACAAGTATCCAAAGCCGAGATTTGGGGGTCACGTGAGGAAGGGGGGTTATTAATACTCAGAACTTTGAAAATCTGAGGTGGAGACCGGGTCCGAAATTATGGGGCCGCAACTTTTTCGCATGAGCCAGCCCGACCACCCAAGTAGGAGCCTAGACGCCCAGGAGTTCGGTGGCACCGCTGGGGCCTAGTGGGAGAGCATGAAAACTCCGTTCCCTCCTGAGATCTGGTCCCCGTGGGGGAAAGTGGGGGCGTCGGAGAGCTGCGTCCCCCTACCTCAGCAACAGTCGAAACGTCGTCCACCTTCTCACCCTCCCGCCCCCACGGTCTGGGTATCTACGGCTGCCTCTTCCAGGCCCGCTCAGGTCCCCAAAGCGCAGAAGAGAACCCAGAGAGGGGGCGAGGGCGTGGGTTTAGGCGCAAACTCCCCGGGCGGCGTTCACCTTCCAGCTCACTCCCGGGACCAGCCGAGCGCCTCGCCGCGGGCCGCTCCCACCGCGCAACAACACCCCGGCGGCCCGGCCACCTCGCGCCCCCGCTGCCCTGCCAGGCGTCCCGGGCCGCCGATCGCAAGTTGTCGTGGCCAGCCTTGGCCCGAGTCGCCCGCAAGGCGTCCAGAGCGCCGAGGCGGCCCCCAACTCCGGGCCTGACTCCTCCGCCTCGGACGGGGCTTACCTGCTTACATGGCCCGCGCCGTGCCCCAGAGTCCCGCGCGGAAAGGCTGTCCCTCGCGGTGGCGAAGCCCCGATTCCCCACGGAACTGATTCCAGGGGCTGGCGGAGGAGGGGCGAGGGCAAGGAGCCGGCGGAGGCGAAAGGGGAGGGAGGTTTCCGCCGCGATCCCGGCGCAGGGGCGCACCGGAGGGGGAGAGGAGGAAAGCCCAAGCGCGGGGCTGTCCCGCCCGAGGGGCGCCGGGGCGAGGAGGCCGGGAAGGGTGGGCGAGGTGGGATGGGACGGACCGCCAGCGGCCACTTTGTGTCCACGGCTGCCCGAGGACCTGAGCCGGGAGGGAAGGCGGCCCAGCCCGGAGGAGCGCCGCAACCTGCCCCCGAGACTGCGCCCACCCGGCGGAGAAAAAGTTGGGCAGAACTTTGAGGGGCCGGGAGAGCCAGAGCGGCAGGAAA